AGGAATGTGGTAACCAAAGAAGGTCAAGTGAGGTACACATAAATAGCACATTGTTCTTCATTCATGGATTGTGTCAGTTCAGGCTCCAGATGTACCTGTGGGATCCCATTAGAAACAAAGTAGGTCTGTCTCTGTGAAACATTTTGTAGGCCAGCAAATACCTCAGAATTTCTGACACATACAAATATGTAATTCCTTTTTCCTCCTTATCCCTACTCATCTCAGATAGATTGTAGTAAAGACTATGCCACGCACACATCTGAATCGGCTCGTGACTTTCATCTCTGATCCTCTTCACAGTGGTAAAAGGGGTTGTGTGTTGACTACGACATACAGTATCATTGAATGAGTATGATGATGCAATATTAACATAGCTGAACAGGAAAAAGACCATAATACTGGAAGATATAAATATGTGATAGAGGTTAGTTTAGTCTTTTATTTCTGGTTGTATATTAAAAACATTTTTTATAACAAGGACAGTAATTGAGTGTGTACTGATAGTATGTATTCAAACCTCATGGTTATCTAAGCTTGTGGTAAGGCATTAAATGTATTCTATTCATGCCATGTAGCTCCTTGTGTGATAAAAGAGTGAAATGTCAGGGAAAGTGAAGAAAAGCAGATCAGGATTGGTGTTGATTACAAGGGAGGCTCTCTGTGAATTTCATGTGGCCTCTTGAGTACTGTGAATGAAAAGATGGACTAAGAATGATTTTTTTTTTTAAGTAACCTGACCCGGAGTTTAACTATTCGATGCTCTCTAGTCATATTGGACTTTAATTTCCATCAGCTACAGTGGGGCAAGAGTATGTGAGAATTACAGTTAGGAAAAAATCCTGCAGTACATTAGCCTACCATAATCTAATCTGTATTTCTACTTTTAAATGATAATATTAAATAATAAGCCTTCCTCCCCAAGGAATGAGTTAGGAATAAACACCCTACTGCTGCCCTGCCTACATAATTATTTTCCAAACAAGAAGTTTGGAAAATATAATGATGATAAGGCAGCAATTGCTTTTTGTTCCAAAAGGAGTATGTTGTATTCAGCTTTGGGATAGAAGTGTGCCGGTGAGTGCTGTACTCTTAGATCTAGGGCATGATTAGTGGTGCTCTATAGCAGGGGTCTTCAAACTTGGCAACTTTAAGACTTGTGGACTTCAACTCCCAGAATTCCTCAGCCACTCCACAAGTCTTAAAAGTTGCCAAGTTTGAACACCCCTGCTCTATAGTAAGGTGACCAACTTTTTTACAACAAAAAGGAGGACACGAATAAATTGAAGAAAAAAATATCGTAAATAAAAGAAACATTGTATTTATTGCAGCAATAATACAGAATACATTATAATATGATAAATGCATAATAAAAAACATTTGTAACAATAACATTTTAAATTGTAATTATGCTTACATGCCTATTATTTAAATGAGTACTTTTCCATTGAATGAATATTTTTTGTCAATGTATCATCTTCTAACAATATATTGGAAATATCTGAACAAGAAATATCCTTCATATTGAATGTTACGGCAAGTGCTGCAGCTACAGTATCAACATTCAATCTTGATTTCTCACTTGTCCAAAAATCTACATGGCTGGACTGCGCGGGGGTGGGCGGCGGAGGCAGGTGTTGTGAGCCAGGTGCTCCAGGACAGACACGTAGGTGCGCAGGGTGAGGTGGTGGCAGCGCAGGTCAGCACTGCGTAGACCACCAGCTGGCGCGGCCCATGGAAGGTCAACTGCCCGCCGCGCCCCCGCCCACAGCCGCCCCAGCAGCACCGCTGCCCTGCCATGGAGAGCTGGCCCCGCGGCTCGCAAAGCACCAGCTGAGCCAGCTCTGGCCCTGCAGCAGCCCCCCCAGCACCACCGCCCATCCTGCGCATCCCCGTAGAGCCAGCCCCACGGCTCGCAAAGGCAAAGCACCAGCTGCGCCGGTTCCAGCCCTGCAGCCCCCCCAGCCGCCCCCCAGCACCACCGCCCACCCTCGCATTCCCGTAGAGCCAGCCCCACAGCTCGCAAAGGCAAAGCACCAGCTGCCCCAGCTCCGGCCCTGCAGCTGCACCCCCAGCCGCCCCCCAGCACCACTGCCCACCTTGTGCATCCCCATAGAGCCGGCCCCGTGGCTCGCAAAGCACCAGCCATGCCAGCTCCGCCCCTGCAGTCCCCCCCCAGCCGCCCCCCCCCAGCACCACCGCCTACCCTGTGCATCCCTGTGTAGAACCGAACAGGGAAGATCAAGAGAAACTTACCGCTCCAGTCTCCTCCAGCTATCTGCAGAACTAAGTAGGAGATAGTGTAGTTGGGTAGCAGTGAGGGATGCAAAGTTCCTGCAACTTGCACGTGCAAAGTTTGCCGCCTGGGTGTTTTGGCACGCTCAGCAGCAATTCCTATTGGCTTTCGAAAGCTAATAAGGGGAACAGCTCAGGCAAAAGTTGAAAAAAAACCATCAAAAAAAGGTCCCAGAACGCCTTCTGAGTGTTCTATGAGGGGAAAAAAAGCCCTGCAGATAAGTCTTCAAATATAGAAAAAGAGGACATTTAGGAGGACATTTTTGAGGGAGGACAGAACTCACAAAAGGAGGACTGTCCTCCCAAAAGGAGGACGGTTGGTCACCTTATCTATAGGGATCCACTGAGACTTATTATTTCATATCCTTCCTTGTAAAGTTCTTTGCTCATAATGTTAAAGATGAGAAGAACAAACCAAAATTGATTCCCCAATTTGAATCAGAATCAGAATAGAGCTGGAAGGGACCCTTGGAGGTCTTGTAGTCCAGCCCCTGCTCAAGCAGGCGATCCTGCACCATTCCAGAAAAGTGGCTGTCCAGTCTCTTCTTAAAAACCTCCAGTGATTGGAGCGCCCACAACGTCTGTAATTTCTTCCTTTATTAGGGTATTAGGAAAACCAATGGTTCATAAAGAAGTTCATTCACAATGTTAAGAAAAATGATAACTTAACATTTTCCATCATTTAGTAAGACAGGTAGTCCTCGACTTACAACAATTCACTTAGTGACCGTTCAAAGTTACAATGGCACTGGAAAAAGTGACTTATGCCGTTTTTCACCATTATAACCTTTGCAGCATCCCCAGGGTCATGTGATCAGAATTCAGACACCTGGCAGCTGACTCGTATTTACGACGGTTGCCGTGCCCATTGGTCACGCGGTTTCCCTTTTGCGACCTTCTGACCACCAAAGTCGATGGGGAAGCCAGATTCCTTATCAACTGCAGTGATTCACTTAATAACTGTGATGAGAAAGGTCATAAAATGGGGCAAAACTCACTCAATGTCTCACTTAACAAGATAAAAAAAACGGGCTCAGTTGTGGTCATAAGTCAAAGATACCTGTAATAATATCCATTCTAGACATCTGTTGTAACAGACAGGCATGGAAAATGTAGTTAGGCACTTTTGAAACAATATTATGGGGAAATATAGGTAGTCCTTGACTTAACGACCACAGTTGAGCCTAAAATTTCAGTTGCTAAGTAGTTGCTAAGTGAGTTTTGCCCCATTTTATTACTCTTCCTACCACAATTGTTAAGTGAATCACCGCAGTTGTTAAGTCAGCCACACAGTTGTTAAGTGAATCTGGCTTCCCCATTGACCTTGCTTGTCACAAAGTGGCAAAAAGGGATCACGTGAACCCCAGGACACCACAACCGTCATAAATATGAGTCAGTTGCCAAGTGTCTTGAGTTTTGATCACATGACCACGGGGATGCTACAATGGTCATACGTGTGAAAAACAGTCGTAAGTCACTTTTTTCAGTGCTGAGAGCTATTGAACCCAGAGATGCCCCCCTCCCCTTTTGTTGAGGCATCCATAGCTATTGTAACATGCAGAAGTATCAGGCTGCCGAAGAGATGCCAAATGAAAAAGCTGCCCCAATTTTGCACATGCTCGCTAAAGACGGTCTGTGTGAAAAACTGTCTGAAGAAATTGCCGTCCCTTTAGGCAAGTCTCATTTTGATTCATTGCATTTCTGATGATTCCAGCCATTTTCATTGTAATCCAGCAGCACTGAATACTTCGTGACCTTTGTCTTAAAATGTGATTTATCCTCCCAGGCATGTCTGGTTTAATTGCAAATCTTTTGTTACTGACTTGGTTTAATGGGCAGCATTTGGCAAATGGTTGAATGGTAATATGATTTTCTCAAAGGCAAATGAAATGTACGTAGATGAAGTGGCCTTTCTCCAGGGTCACATCTTTTTTAAAATATGTCTGTTTCTAAGTTTTAACATTTATTCTCTAATAAGCAAGTAGACGCTGCAGTATACAAAAGGAATTGAATCAATACTTCAGGATAAAAAAATTATCAGATACATTTACTAAACCAAAATGTTGTCTACAGTAAAAAGAGGTTTGTTAAGTCCATAGGTTACATTGTGGTTTTCTGTTTCTTGGTGTGTTTTGACCTTATTTTAGGAAAAACCATATTTCAGAAATAAGAACTGTCTTTAAGGGCTTTCAAGCTATAATGTCTTCTGATTAACTAACCAGGGTGAAATCCATAAGAGGAAGGAAAAAAAACTTGCGATAGACAATTACAGCAATATTATCTGCAAAATAAATCTAGTAACTTGGGGTGGAGGAGGTGGGTGTCAACAATATAAAAGTAGCAAGTGTGACAATTTGATAAAAGTCCTGCTTTTTAATGTGCACTGTGGGACTTGGTGCTCACATCTTCTATTTTGAACTTGTTGATCCTTGTATCACAGCTCTTTCTAGAGAGCCAATAGCTCTAGAGCAGGGGTAGGCAACTTTGGCTCTTTCATGACTTGTGGACTTCAACTCCCAGAATTTCTGAGCCAGCCGTGCTGGGGGGAAAAGGAGAGGTTTCCAAGCTGAGCCATGCTGGCTGAAGAATTCTGGGAGTTGAAGTTGAAAAGAGCCAAGGTTGCCTACCCCTGCTCTAGAAGATAATAGCCAGCTCTCCATTCCGGGATGTTCCACGATTAAGCTGCAAACCATTCTTTTGTCTTCCAGGTGATACGGAGAAGTAGTGATGAAGAAAAACTGCTCTGCTTAGTTCGTCAGCGTGCAGGACATCACTGCCAAACTGCTGTGATTGTGATACTTATTTTGGCCTGGGAAGGGATTCCTCACCTTCTTGCTGACACGTTGTACAAGGAACTGACGCAGAGCCTCAGAAAATATGGCTGCCCAACTAGCCGTAGATGTGCATTAAATGAAGAGTAAGTACGCTTTAAAATATTTTGAAGTAGGAGAGTATTTTAAAATATAAAGGATGTATGAGATATTAGTAATGTGACTTGATTAACAGTCTTCTGCAGGATGGATGTTACACTTGAAAAAGATACATACAACAATTTCTAATTTTTTAGTAGAGGGCAGATAGCATTCTGAGTATGATGTGTTTAGAGGACCAAAATGAACTTTCTCATTTTTCATTTTTTTTATCCTGGCAAAATCAGATTGTATGAAAATAGAATTTTTCTTCCATTTTTTAAGAATGTGCTCTGTTGTTACCCAAAACTTTCTATCTTGCTTTTGATATCTTCTAGACTAAAGCAGGGGTCTTCAAACTTGGCCCTTTTATGACTTGTGGACTTCAACTCCCATAATTCCTCAGCCAGTGTGCCTAGTTCAGGAATTCTGGGAGTTGAAGTCCACGAGTCATAAAAGAGCCAAGGTTGCCTACCCCTGCCCTAGAGTCTTACATGTTTAATGACTGTCTTCTCTGTGGTGGAGAGAAAAAAATTAAACATTTTTGGTCCTACAGCATGAGATTCATCAGATCTGATTGATTCTTACATTGGTCATAATCAGAAGCAGCCAGTGACTACATGCTTGTCTTGCTCCAGTCCAGTCCACTGCCGGCTTGTGGGCTGATTGCCTCACACGGAGGCTGTGCCCACCCCAGCTCTGGCAATGTGAAAAAAATCATGATACGTCGCAACACGTCACATGATGTAGCGAGTTTGACACTCGTGCTCTAGTCTATTCCATTTAGAATAATATAGGTTATATTGTAGCTTTCAATGTGTGTGTAGGGCTGACAGAGATTTGGGGCATCAAATTGCCCCAAAGGTGAGAATCTTGCCCAACTAGCTGACTGCCTACCTACCTTTTGGTTAATTTTTCTAGTCGTACTTGTGCCTGTCAAGGTCTCGATCCAGAGACATGTGGAGCATCCTTTTCATTTGGCTGTTCTTGGAGCATGTATTACAATGGCTGTAAGTTTGCCAGAAGCAAAATCCCCAGAAAATTTAGACTTCTCACAGATGATCACACCCAAGTAAGTATTCTCCTTTTCTTCTTCCATAATACAATTTTTAATGCTACAGTTTAAATGCACAGGTATCATAAATGTTTAAAGTTGTTTAGAATTAGTGGAATCACATTAGATTACATCCTTTCTATGTGGCTTAGGTGTGCAAGCTAAGCGTTACTATGAGTAAACTGTTCATACACAGTAAATCACTTGTACTGACTTGTCTTATAGCACATAAAATCTCACTTCCTGTTACCTCCAGAATGCTATGCTTTCATGCCTCTGATAACTCATAGCCATCCACCATAATTTACCAATTTGCATGCATTGAATTGAATACTTTATTTGGCCAAGTGTGATTAGACACAAAAGGAATGTCTCCAGTGCAGAAGCTCTCAGTGTACACGCAAAGCAACAGAATAATGATAATCATAATAAAAATACCAGTAAGAATATCAGTAAGGGGGGAGTACGAAGGATAAGAAGTCTAAATAATAATGCTAAAGCCATACTTCTTGGGTAAATACATACTGACTTTAGACAGCAATGTGAGAATTAGTTGTTCAGGAATGTTCTGTCCCAGCCTAGATGAGTCCTTGTTAAGCTCACAAGGAGAAACCCCTCTTCCAATAAGCAGGCTGGAACTGCAGGAGAAAAAACTAATCCCCTTTTATTATTTACAGACCTGAGTAAATGTCCAAAGGCAAACAAAACACAGTTCACTGAAACTTGATTCCTTAACACAAAAGGTGTGAGAGGTTGCCTTCAGCAAATAGCACTTCTCACACCTTCTCTTTTATTATGCAGCCAAGGTGTGGCTTTCTAATTCCTTTGCCTTTGGAGCCTCCCCATTGCATTCCTCTGTCCTACGGCGTTTACGAGCATCACGAGCATCCCGAGCATCCCGGATATCTTGCAGCTGTGAATCATCATTGTCCAGCTCAGCTTCCTAGCACAGCTGTGTCTCAGCCTGAGTGTGAGTAGAGGGGCCAGGCTCCTCGTCAGACTGTAAATCTTGGAGCTCATCAGAGCCTTCCTCTGACGTCACTCCAGGCCCCTCCTCCTCCTCCTCCTCTGATTCCCAGACTCAGCTGCCGGGTCCATTGGCTGACGAGGAATCACAACAAGGAGAGTGATGGGCCGAGGGAAAAAACTGTCCCTGTTTCTAGTTGTTTTGCCCTGCAATGCCCAAGGAAAGAAGTTGAAACAGTTTATGTTCAGGATGTGAAGAGTCCGCAGATATTTTCTCAGCCCTCCTTCTGACCTGTGCAATATAAAGGTCTTTTATGGAAAGCAGGCTGGTTGCAATTGTTCTTTCTGCAACCTTAACTATCCGTTGGAGTCTGTACCTGTCTGTTTGGTTGCTGTACCAAACCTGATAGTTATAGAAGTACATATGATAGACCAGTAGTGGCACGGGTGCCAGAGGCGGCACTCAGAGCCCTCTCTGTGGGCACGCGCACTGTTGCCTCAGGCCTTGGCCTTCAGCTGGGTTTTATAAAACCTTTTTGCTTTAGGCCTTCGCCGCCGTGTGCAAAAAAAAAAAAAGGTTCAATCAGTCAATTTCAACTTCTCGCGGAAAAAAAAAAGATCTTGCAAAGTTGGAATTGATTGATTGAACTTTTTAGTCCCACCCAGTCTGCTGTTACCACTGTAGCCATTCCCACCCAATTGGCCATGCCTACCCAATTGGCCACACCCAGCCAATGGGCCACACCCACCTGGCACTCGACCATGCATAAGTAGATTTTGGGTAGCAGTTTGGGCACTCAGTCTCTAAAAGGTTCGCCATCATTGTGATAGACTATAATTTCTCTATAAAACTGCTCATGTAATTTTCCCTAACCTCACCTGTTGCATATCTGTCCAAAAAACGGACACGTCTGAGCAGGTACAGTAAGCTGAATCGATTTAGAGTATGTTTTTATTTTCCTATTAAGACTAAATGCGCATGTTCACAGTGACTAACATATACATGCAATCCATTTTATAAAATGTTCCCTTATTTTAAAAATAGGAAATATTTCACAAGTGTGCATGTACACAGGTTTGCTAACTTCTAGCATAGTACCTACTCCTGAAGCAGGCACTCGGTTGTACAATTATTTGGGGTGGCTGAAAAGTTCATAGAACAAACAAATGAAAGTGCTTTTTGTCATTGTTTTTATTAGAATCTTCTGCTTTAGCTAAATATTAAATATTGATCATTTTGCAGATGACTTAAAGCTAGGAGGTATAGCAATGCAAATGCAGAAGAAGATAGATTGAAAGTAAAGACAGATATGGATCATTTGAACCACTGGACGGAGTGAGATGAGGTTAAATGTAAAGAAGTATAAAATTATGCTCTTTAGGTAAGAATAGCTTGTAGTATAGAGATAAAACTAGAAAAAAATCTGTTGTCTAGAAAGTAGTCCAGAAGAATTTTTGGACAGGTAACAAACTTATATGGGTTTGTGCTATTGTGATTTACTTATTTTGCTCAATAGTGTTCAACAATGAGATATAAGAAGCAGTTGCTTTGCCCTCTTCCTGGTGCACAAAGAAGAATTTATTTTATTTTATTTTATTTATGAGACTTATATACTGCTTTAAGTGCAAGCACTCTCTAAGCGGTGTACACCAGTAAGCAATGTATATTTAAAGCTACCCTTTCATTTCTGTTCTGGTTAATTATGACTTGTTCTGTTTTTCTAGCACAACAAGTGAATTAGCTTTGACCTTGGCTTGCGTATAGCATGCCAGGTTTAGAGCATCTTATAGGATTGTGGTGAGATATTTTATGGAATGAATGAAACAAATCATTCTATAAACTGCAGATTATGGGTGGTATGATTCAACAACGCATATTTATTCACAGCACAGGATGTGGATGAGAGATCCTAAGCTGTCGGGTATTTTTGTTCATTTGTTTTTTATAGTAAAAGCGCAACCATCTAATGAAACATATGTATGTGTGAGTTGTTCAAGGGTTATAGCCAAAACTTATAGTAAGTTATATCAGCTTGGGAAATAGGACTACTTTGAGCACTCTGCATAAGTTAAGGAGAAAATCCACCTTTGATTTTTTTTCCCATCATTTTTTTTATTGCCTCACAATTATTATTATTTTTATATGGTAGCTGCTTGGTGTCTGAATGGATTTTAGAAGAATGTTATTTATTATAGTATTAATGGATATACTCTGTTTTTAAATAATGGATTGTTTTCCAAACCTAAATATTTATAATGTAAAAGTCTTGTTGAGTCATTCACTTCTGTGGTTGACTTTATGGATGCATTTCTAGAGTTGTCTTGGTAATAGTAGAGGAACAGTTTGTCCTTCTTTTAATTTGTGTTTTTAATTTCCCAATCAATTTTACAGCTCACGGACTTCTTGACATTCTCGCATCCAAATACTAGCCAGGTCCAATTCTACTTAGACTAGTGAGATTAGCCATGTCAGCTACCCGGGCACCTGTGTGTATTGTCTGAATCTCATACTTTCTAAGGCTACTATATTGGTCTGCTAAACTGATACGTTGGCTTTAACAAGTACAAAATGGGCAACCTTACATGCTGTTCTGTTGTTAAGCAGAACCTCAACTTAACTTTACATTTAAAGCATTTATTGCAGAGGTGTCCAATCTTGGCAACTTTAAGGCTTGTGTATTTCAACTCCCAGAATTTCCTAGCTAGCTATGCTGACTGGGTAATATTCTGGGAGTTGAAGTCCACAAGTCTTAAAGTTGCCATGGTTGGACACTCCTGAATTATTGTTTGTTTTGTGGGTTTTTTTCTTTTTGCCTTTCTTGAAAGAGCTTGATGTTTGATCTACTGTGTCCACATTTTTTAGACTCAAAGAATATCTTTGAAGAAACTCTGTTGCTTATCTTCAAATCTTATGTCTCTTCTCCTCTGAGAATAATAAAGCAAAATTCTTAAGACAGAGTAGTGATACTTATTTTTAACAAAATATGAAAATGAACCAAAGAATGTAAGTTTAATGACTTATTGTCAAGTTATGTAGTACATTTTTAAAATTTGATACAGGTAGTCCTTCACCTACGTCCATTCAGTGACCATTCAGACATATGATGGTGCTGAACGAATGATGGTTATGACTGATCCTCAGAGCATTTTTGACCTGCTGCAGCACCCCATGATCACACACTCATTGCTGAGGCAAACCTCCCCCACCTGCACATCCTCCTGCAGCCTTTCTGCACTGCTACTCACATATCCTCCCTGACCTTTAACCCTTGTGCACCCTATCCAAGCCTCACAGCCACCCTTGACTCATGCCACAAACCTGAACAGCTGCTGTGACCCATGCTACACTCCCATGCACCCTCCCTCACCTGTTCCTCTCACACAACACTCAAGCTATCACACACTCATCTTAACCTTCACCACGCATCATACCCACGTGCACTGGCCCCACGTATACTGCACCTACACACACTTCCCAAGCCATACTGTGCCTCTTACACACACCCTCACATCCTCCTTGAATTGCATCACGCCCTTGCATACTCTCCCAAACGCATGCCTCACCTTTGTGCACCGTCCCTGACCTTCATGTACTTTTCCTGAGCCACACTCTGGCACTCAGGAACCCCCTTGCTCCTTCTCCCCCACCTGTCCTTCACACTTGCACTCTCTCCAAGCCACACCTGCACCTCCGGCACACCCCCTCACAACCTCATACATTCTCCCCAACTCATGCTGTACCTTCTCACACCACACGTCACATATGTACTCTCGCCCCCTTACGCATTCCCCTGGTCCATGCCACAGTCCCAAGCGCATTCCCAGATCCGAGCTATACCTCCACGCACCCTCTCTGATCTGCATGCCTTTTATGCATCCTCTCGTACGTGGCACCCTCTCCCCAAACCTCACCATGGCTCCCCCCCCCCTCCGGTGCTCTGTTCCCCACCCAACAGAAGTCACTCGACTGCCTGCTGGTCTGAGACTTGGAACTTCCTGCCATCTTGGTTGTGGGATCCCAGCAGGAAGGTGCCTCATCAAATAACCATGGGATTTAGTTAACAATGATAATTAGGACTTCAGGGATGGTTGTTGCTAAGCGATGTGGTCACACTTTATGACCCCCCATCCCTTAGCAATGGAAAACCCAGTCCCAACTGTTGTCATAAGTGAAGGATTACCTGTATTCAGTATATTGAAGGAAGAAAAGTCTCTCTTTCATGACCAGCCCGATAGGCTTTCCAACATTGTTAATAGCTGTTGGGCTAAGTAATGGTTTCCTTGCAAAGGAGAAAGGAATATTTTCCCCTGTGTCTGACCAACTTTTAAATATTTTGATAGCTTTACTATTACAGTAGGAAACTTAGGTCTCAAATATAAGCTGCAGTCAGCGTTGCTTTCGCTAATTGCTTTGTTTATAAACAATACAATTATGGCGTAATTGCTTTCTCTGTTTCCAGGAAGAAAATCTGGAAAACAATTTGCAGACTTTAGCTACTGATGTGGCTCCGTTATATCAGAAACTTGCCCCTGATGCTTTCCAGAACCAGGTAGGTGGATGAATATTTCATGTTGCCTCATCACATCCTTTTAATGTGATAGATCAGTGACATTTCCCTGAGGGACATTCACTTACTAGCTGAGTCCACAGATTGAGCTAAGCCCCAGCATCATTTCTTGGATTTTAAGCTAGTACAATGTGTGGGTTCTTCTCTTATAGTTTATAAACAATGATTTATGGCTTTGTACAGGAATAGATAATATATGGCCCCACATCTTTGTTTCTTTTTGCTGCTCTTATAAACCTATTTTATTTCTCTCTTTCCATGTTTGTGGAAAACCAGCAGCACCTATTGAGGTGGAAAACAGATCATCTCAAAATGAAATATCTGAAAGTAATCATAGTTAAAGCACAAAAAGCAACCCCCAAATCTCCCTTGCAAGGCCAGCCTTACCCACATGCCTGTAATGCCCCTCCTTTTGTGACCCTTTTCAAATGTTGTATCTCACCTCCAGCTTCAGGCTTAGTGTAGTATTATGTGTAAGTCCATTGGTTTTGGTATATGCAATATCATAGTGCAGGGGTCGGCAACCTGAAACAGTGAAAGAGCCACTTGGGCCCGTTTCCCTCACAAAAGAAAAAACTGGGAGCCGCAAAATGTGCGTGCGCATGCGCGCGCACACGCAAAACAGAGGGCTTGATTGAAGAGTGGAGCTTAAGGCGAGACATGCACCGGCCCTGCTCCCCATCCAGCTCTGGTATGGATGCTTTGCCGTCCTGGCTTCTCCTCCCCTCGGAAAAAACTGCTCTCCCCCCGCTCCGCGCTCTCCCTCTCTGGGACTTTCTTCTTTCTGCCTTTTGGCACGAAGGTTCCCAAGGAGTGGAGGAGGAGGCTGACGGGGAGAAGGAGCTGCTGCAGCAAATCTTCCGAGGTGGCAGCAAACGGCCACTCGGGCTCACCTATCTCAGCTTGCTGTAGGAGGCTGGAGTTGAGGCTTCTGGCTCGCTCTGGGAGGGATGCTCGGAAAAGAGAGGATGAGAAGCGGAAAGTGGGAGAAAGGACGTCTTCCAGCTCTCTGGGGTTCTTTCGCTGGGAGGGCGAGGAAGCAGCAGTTCTGCTCCGTAGGAGGTGGGAGCAGGCGGCCTCTCCTTCAAGCTTTGCCAAGTGATTCCAGGAGCGAAGCAAGCTCCGAGTCCCCGGAATGTCAACTTTGCAAAAGAGGGAGGCGGTGATGGGATTAAAATAAAACGGGGGGGGGGGAGGTTGAGGAAACCAAGCAGACGCCTCTATCAGAGGGCGAGCAAGAAAGGCAAGAACAGGGAGAGGAAGAAGGCTTTCGGGGCTTGTGCACAGACATAGCTCACTCCTCCTCGTCTCCTGCCCTTGCTGCATCTCCTGTGGAGACACGTTTGCCTCTCTCTGTGTGTCTCTCTCCCACTCAAAGCCATCCTGCAGCTCGATCCTTGAAGCGATTTCAATCGGCCCCTTCATTGCCAAGCGTCCCCATGGAAGTCAATGAAGATCCGCGGCGACTCAAAAGGTCAGCCGCGGCACTTCCAAGTCCGTTGGTTTTACTAGCGAGCCACTGCCTTCGCCTCCTCGGGTTTGGCATCAACACAGATCACTGAGCAGGAGGATTGATTAGTGCGGGTTTCTCCTTGCCAAAGTAGCGATGGTTGGAACAGGACCTTGCCTGATCTTTTGTCCAAACTCAGCCAGGTGGGTCCCGTGGCCTTTTGAGTTGGTGCGGACCTCCATTGACTTCCATGGGGACACTTGGCAATGAAGGGGCCAATTGAAACCACTTCAAGGATCGAGCTGCAGGATGGCTTTGAGTGGCAGAGAGAGACACAGAGAGATGCAAACGTGTCTCCACAGGAGATGCAGCAATAGCAGGAGACGAGGAGAAGGAGGAGGTGGCTCGCTTGGTAAACCAACTGACTTGGAGATGCTGTGGCTTTCTGGGACACCCCGGGGTCTTACAGAAGACCCAGCCCAGATCCAATTCCCTGCCCTGCCCATCTGGAAACCCCACCACAGTCCCCCCTGCAAACCAGCCTGCAGGATACTCGGGAGGGAAGCCCAGCACTGGGCCGTGGGGGGAGCCGGGCTGAGCTGCCCCAAGGAGAGGAACTCCCCTGGCCAACATGCGCCGATTCTTCCAGGCGGCCCTTCTTCCCTCCGGCTTTGAGGCTCTACAGCACCCGACTTCCTCTCCCCCCAGCCTCGAGCCAGGCTCCCCAGAAAGCCGCGGGACCCCAGTAGGTGTGGGGATGGGCTGAGGAGGGGTCCTCCCGCTCCAGTTGGGTACCCCCCCTCTTTTCAGAAACAGCACCCGAAAGGAAAGGAAGGACAGAGCAAGCTTTACCCGCGGGGGATCCGGCGCTCGTTGCCTACCTCCCTTTCCCGGGCAGGGATCGCCAGCCTCAGCAGATCCACTGGGCTGGCAAGAGGTCCCTTGAGAGAGCAGCTGCCGTCGCCTCCCCTCCCATCTCCCGGTGGGCTTCAGGGGAAGCGCGGGACTTCGGGGGGGCGTTCCTGTTCAAAGCGATCCGTGCGCTTTCAGAGCTTGGGAGACAGAGCAACGCTGAGCCTAACCGGGCAGACCCATTTCCTGGGGCCTCAGCTGGCGGGAGGGCTGGCCTGATCAGCAGAGGCGCCAGCTGGCTGCTCCCAGGGGGGGATCCCGAGGCTGCCCTGCGTGTCTCCCTGGCCACGTGCGCCTCGGACAGGGCCAGCCTAGGAAAGGGACTTCCTGGCTGCACTTCTCGCAGGGGGTAGGGCGCCTGGGCGCAGGGCCAATCAGGAGCCCCACGAGGGGCTAAGTCCACACGAGAGAGAGGGAGGGAGGGAGGGGGGGGAAGCACAAGTGCCTCTCTGTCTCTGTATCTCTCTCTGCAAATGGCGGAGGAGGCTCCAGAGCCGCAGGAGAAGGCCCAAAGAGCCGCATGCGGCTCCGGAGCAGCGGGTTGCCGACCCATGTCATAGTGAAATTGAATTACAATTAGTCCTCACTTACCAACCATTTGTTCAAAATTATAATGGTGTCACAAAAGATGACCTGACTTTGAAGTTTCAGCCATTCCAGCACCTTGCGGTCATGTGATCAAGATCTAGCCACTTCACAACCAGCTCATGCTTAACAGTGGTTGCAACTTCCTGCAGTTATGTGATCGTCCTTTGCAGCCTTCACTGTTGGCTTCCCACAAGCAAAGTCAATGGGGAAGCCAGTTGGAAAATTACTCACACCAGTCCCAGCTTGGCAGCAGTCATGTAGTCACATCATCCATGTACCGTTCCTTACCTGTCTGGTGGCCTGTTTGCAAGCCACCTGAGACTCGCTTAAGGACCCATGATCTTCTCTCAATAGCAGCAATGGGGAGCACCACGATTCTGGTCCTAATTACATCATTACGTAAGGATTACCTGCATGGCTTAGTGCAGGAGTCTTCAAACTTGGCCATTTTATGACTTGTGAACTTCAACTCCCATGCTGGCTGAGGAATTCTGGGAGTTGAAGTCCACAAGTCATAAAACGGCCAAGTTTGAAGACCCCTGACGTAGTGTATGTGAACCCATTTGCTTCCTGGTGAAAGCAAATATTAGATATGAGAAAGCAAACTGCTTTGAGGATACTTTCTGTTTTTTCTTAAATATAATAAATCTGATTGTGATCACAATTCACACTCTTCAAGCTGGAGGGCAGCAAATGCTCCCTGGATTTAGCTATTGCACTGTCCCTGCTATATGTAGCAATTAAAATGCATAAATAAAATAACAATCTGCACAAAAGCCATATGTTTTGTAAGCAACAATACACAGGTCAAGTGTAAGTCTGTGTTTCCTCCAATTTTTGATTGTAAATGAAATGTTGCCCTGAACACACGCGTCACTCACTGTGTTCCTGAAATAAGAGCCCATTGCCTTGTTTTCTAAGGTGGAGAATGAGCATCTTGGTCCTGACTGTCGTCTTGGGATCAAAAAAGGCCGGCCTTTCTCTGGTGTGACAGCTTGCATTGATTTCTGTGCCCATGCACACAAGGATACTCACAACATGCACAATGGAAGCACTGTGGTAAGTAAAATTTGGAATGCTGTTTCCTCTTTGTCATGTAGCTGTGTCGTGGTTGCATGCTCTCTTTTTACCTCATTTCCTTTATTATTATTTTTTTCAGTTTGGGTCTCCAAACTTGGCAATTTTAAGACTTGTGGAATTCCTCAGCCAACATGGTTTGGTGACCCCTGCCATAAATGACACAAAATGTAATGAATGTATAATAAGTTATAATTTTCTTGGTTACTGAGGTTAAATACTGCTTGAGCATGAGTGTCTGCAGCCTCGTACACAATTCACTTTTAAATCTTTAGTTTACAATGCCGTAAGTCAGTAGTGGTGAACCTATGGCACGGGTGCCAGAGGTGGCACTCAGAGCCCTCTCTCTGGGCACGGATGCCGTCGCCCCAGTCCTAGGTCTTCAGCTGGATTTTATAAAACCTTTTCGCTTTAGGCCTCCGCCGCCATGTGCAAAAAAAAAAAAAGGTTCAATCAGTCAATTTCAACTTCACGGGAAAAAAAAGATTTTGCAAAGTTGGAATTGATTGATTGAACTTTTTAGCCCCACCCAGTCTGCCGTTACCACTGCAGCCACGCCGAGCCAATGGACCATGCCCAGCCAATGGGCGACACCCAGCCAGTGGGCCACACCCACCCAGCACTTGACGATGCATAATCTAAAAGATTCGCCATCATTGCCCTAAGGTGCTTCAAGGCCAGAAAGTGCAGGGCAAAAAGACCATGTAAACAAGGGGAAATGGATGGGTGGAGGAAAGAAGCAGCACCTGGATTGGAATGCACTGGGAATAAAAAAGGAATTGCACTTTCATGTTGACAAAGGGAATCGATTATTTTGCGGCTTCTTCCTAGCAAGCAGTAAGCCTTCTTACATAACTTATTGTATGAGTTCTGAGGTCCTTAGGTTGGATACAGCTTAGAAGTCAAACTGTGCCAAGTCAAGTATCCAGGAAATTCCTCAAGGTCTTAGCAGTGAGCCTTGACATTCAGCTCCCAGCCCAGAGCTGCAGGAATGTTGCCCACCTTATCTGACTGGATGGTTAGCATTTGCCGATTAATCTATTTCTTAGGGGTCTTTCCTGTCATTATGGTCAAGACCTGAAATGCAGGCCACAGTCATGGAAGCGAGAGTCAAACAGCCTTCAGCCTTCGATGAAGAATTTAAATGCAAGAATTAGGGGCAAAATACAGAGTCTTTTTATTATTATTATTATAATTTTTACAATTTTACAATAAAAACCCCTTTCCCAATCCCTCTCAACCCTCCCCAAAACCCTCCCCCATTCTTCCCAGGGCTAGATACAGAGTTAACTAAAACTTAATAGAAAAAGCTTATAAACTCAAATAAACCACAAACAATTATGATTATATTCGATGAACAAATTGTTAAATACATTAACTCCATTACATATAAAAAAAAAAACAGAAAGAGAAAAAGAAGAAAATAAAGAAAATAAAAAACATAATAAAAGAAAAAAGAGAGAAAAACTAAACTATTCTACACTTCTAAATAATATCTTAAACTTTAAATATAAATTATTCAAAAGCTAAATAATATTTTCTAATATCATACCTATATTGTATAAAATTTATCCATCTTTTCCACACCAAGAGATACTTCTCTTGCGATTGATCTTTCAAAAAAGCCGAAATTTTTGCCATTTCAGATAAGTAAGAAACTTTAAAAAACCATTCCTGCAAAGTAGGCAAAAATTCCTTCTTCCAATACTGTCCTATTAACAACCTTGCCGCTGTAATTAAGTTTAACATTAAAATAATTTCTTTGTTATCACAATCAGAGACAATACCCAACAAAAACAATTGTGGAGTAAATTTTATCCTTCTTTTGAAAATTCTTTGTATATTCCACCATATCTTAATCCAAAAAGCTTTTATGCTTTTACATGACCACCAGATATGATAATAAGTGGCATCCAAACAACCACATCTCCAACATTTAGGCTGCAAGTTTGAATACATACGAGACATTTTTTGTGGATCAAGGTGCCATCTATAAAACATTTTATAGAAATTTTCCCGTAAATTTTGGGCTTGTGTAAATTTAACATTCCTCACCCAAATAGTCTCCCATATATCTAATGAAATTGGTTCATCAAAATTTTGAGCCCATTTAACCATACAATCTTTAACTAATTCTGCTTCTGAATCCAATTCCACTAACACACCATAAATTCTTTTAATATGGGTTCAGCTTTGATCTGTAATTTGTTTTAACAAATTCTCATCCTCTCTAAGCAAGCCCACATTATAATCTATCTTCCACCTTTCCAATAATTGTCTATACTGAAACCATGAATAAATAATATTTTCTTGTACTAGTTCATCCATAGATTTTAATTGCCAATTTTTACCATCCCACTTAAGTAATTGTGTATAAGAAATACTATCCATCTTAACTCCTCTCCTTATTCCTTCTATTGCATGCCATGGAATAGCCCATAATGGAATTCTTGAATCAATTCTATAATATTTCTTCCAACCCGAAGTAAAGAAGTTCTTAAGATATGAGACTTAAAAACCCTATCAACCTTTTTATTATAAATTAAATAGGCATGCCATCCAAAAAGTAAATCCCACCCCTCCAAAAGGAGTATATCTACATTTGTTAAGTTAACCCAATCACTAATTAATGTTAAAACCACAGCATCATAATACAATTTTAGATTCGGTACCTTGAGTCCACCTCTCTCTCGTATATCTTGTATAATTTTAAGTTTTACTCTTGGTTTTTTTCCCTGCCCAGATAAATTTATTGATACCTTTCTGCCATTCATCTAAATTTGCTTCTTTTTTTAGAATAGGTATCATTTGAAATAAGAGAAGAAACTTTGGCAAAACATTCATTTTAATCGCTGCTATTCTCCCCAATAGGGACAATTGCAGCTTTTTCCAATTGTCCAAGTCCTTTTGTATTTTAACCCACAGCCTTTCGTAATTATTTTTATACAGTTTTGCATGGAAGCAGATAAAATAACCCCTAAATATTTTACCTTATTAACAACCTCGAAACCTGTCAATCTAACCAAGGTCTCCTTATCCAAGTTGGTCATGTTTTTAGGCAATATTTTAGTCTTATTATTAATTTTGAAACCTGAAACTTGTCCATACTGATTTATCAATTGTAACAACTCCATTACAGAGTGAATTGGTTGAGATAAAGTAACAACCAGATCATCTGCAAAAGCCCTTAGTTTATATTCTTTTTTATTAATTTCTATTCCTTTTATTTTCGATGATTCCCGAATTTTGATCAGCAAAATTTCCAGGGTTAAAACAAACAGCAGTGGCGACATTGGACAACCCTGTCTGGTCCCCTTTTCAATTGGAAATACCTCTGATAAACCTCCATTAACTATAAGTTGTGCCGTTTGTTTTTGATAAATGGCTCGAAGAGCCTGTAAAATTTTATCTCCAAAGTGATCAAAAGCTTTTTCAGCATCTAAAAATATCAATCCTGCAGAGATTTGGTTGTTCTTATCCAAATATTCTATTAAGTTAATAATTTGTCTAACATTATTTTTCATGTACCTTCCAGTTATAAAGCCAGTTTGATCCATATGTATTAATTGATTCAACACAATCGTAAGTCTATTAGCTAAAATTTTCGAAAAGATCTTATAATCTACATTCAAAAGAGATATAGGTCTATAATTTTTTGGTAAAGTAAGATCTTGGTCTTCTTTTGGGATCAAGGATATAAAAGCTCTACCCCAAGACAAGGGGGTCTCTAAACCCTGTAATATATTATTAAAAAGTTCCCTTAAAGGTTCTGTCAACTCATCTATCAAAGTCTTACAATAAATTGATGTCAATCCATCAGTACCCGGTGCTTTACCTACTTTTAATTCTTTAATTGCTGTCGCAATTTCCTCTATAGTAATCAATCCATTAATTTCTTGTTTCTGATCTTCTGTTAACTTAGGAAAATGAGCATCTTGCAAATATTTATCTATATCTGAAACCTGTACTTTCCTACCCATATATAATTTTGTATAATAATCTAAAAAAGATTTCTTAATCAATTCCTTCTGATATACCAGTTTACCGTTATAATTTATTTTATCTATAGTTCTCTGCTTCTGTTTCTTTCGCAATTGATAAGCCAGCCATCTCCCTGGCTTATTAGCGTTACAAAATGTATTATGTTTCATATAAAGTAAATTGGTTGCAGTCTGATCCGCCATTAACATATTAAATTGCGATTTAAGCAATTTTATAGAGTCTTTAACCTTCTCATCTATAGGATTCAAAATTAAAACTTTTTCTTTTAATTTAATCTCATCTTCCAACTCCTTACGTTTTTGCACCTGTTTCTGTCTATAAGCCTTATTCATTTGTATCAAGACCCCACGCATATAAGCTTTACTTGCATCCCATACCATTGCCATTGAAGTTCCCTTATGCATATTTAAAATAAAATATTCCTTTAAATACAGAGTCTTGAGGACTGTGGTAGGAACCTCCAGCCCTCTTTTATAAATGAGTGCATTAAAAAAACCCTTTGAATGTTTGACTCTCCTCTCCTTCCCTGAGCTTTTGTACAGCCTGGACTGAGCTGCTCTTCGTGAGATAAGCTACTTAGCAGTGCTGATCCGGTTGTCCTTGCAGGCTTGTGATCTGAAGAATGGAGGAATGTTGGGGAGGAAATGACACATCCAACCTTTTGTCTACCATTATAATAATAGATTTGGCCTAGGACAGTGATGGTGAACCTTTTAGAGACCGAGTGCCCAAATTGCAACCCAAAACCCACTTATTTATCACCAGGTGCCAGGTAGATGTGGCCCACCGGGTGGGTGTGGCTGTGGTGGTCATGGCAGACTGGGTGGATGTGGCCAAGGTGGGCATGGTCACCTCGATGTTGCTCATGGGGAGGGGCGCCTGTGGGAGCCAAGCAGGGTTGGGGGAGATCCAGGGGGTCTCTGGGAGGTGGGGTGGTGGGCAGGAGGCTCGTCCTGTGGGGTGAGGCGAGGCAAGGTGAGGCAGGGCAGGGGTGCCATTGCCGTAGGGCAAAGCGGGGCAGGGGCCGGGGCAGCTGCTGCCTGACACCATTGGCACACAGAGGCCAACGAGCGCATGGGGGCCGACAGTGTCCGTCAGCAGCCACAGCCTGTCGGCCCCTCGACCAGTGCACTCTGGGGCTCTGTAGCCCGCCGCCAGCAGTTCAGAGAAGCTGCCTCTGAGTTGGACGGACGGCTGACAGCTGAGGAGGCGATGCAGTGTGTTGTGCCCAGGAAAAGGAGAGCATGCGAGGCCAGGAGGGATGGGACTGAGGGAAGGGAAACCAACCGTGCTGGGATTAATCCGGCCACATGGGATCTCAGCAAATTAGTGGGTGGCTGGTTGAAGAGGGACAGTTGCCATCTCCGAGGCAAAGAGGACTCTGAGTGCCACCTCTGGCACGCGTGCCATAGGTTCACCACCACTGACCTAAGATCAAGTCCCAGATGTCTTGCCTATTTCTCTACCCCTCCCCTAAGCCCCCTTTGCATTTTCCCCTTAGCATGCCATCACTTCCTCTTTAAGGTTTGTGCTACTCCAGGCAGCACCAATGCTTTCTTAATTGCCATTCATAGCACAGAATTCAGAACTTGTCAGCCCAAGAGGAGATTGGAATGCACCAAATTCTTGTATGTATATTCCAGTGGTGGCAAACCTATGGCACGGGTGCCAGAGGCGGCACTCAGAGCCCTCTCTGTGGGCACGCCCGCCGTCGCCCCAGTCCTAGGCCTTCAGCTGGGTTTTATAAAACCTTTTCGCTTTAGGCCTCCGCCGCCATGTGCAAAAAAAAAAAAAAAAGATTCAATCAGTCAATTTCAACTTCTCACGGGAAAAAAAAAGATCTTGCAAAGTTGGAATTGATTGATTGAACTTTTTAGTCCCACCCAGTCTGCCCTTACTACTGCAGCCACGCCCAGCCAATAGGCCACGCCCAGCCAATGGGCCACACCCACCCGGCACTCGACGATGCATAAGTGGGTTTTGGGTTGCATTTTGGGCACTCAGTCTCTAAAAGGTTCACCATCACTGGTATATTACATAGAGGGACTCCAGGTTTGGTCGGTTAGGTTTCCATTGGACCACCAAACCAACTTGAAGCATTATTTGTTAGTTTTAAGAAAAGGGACTCTAATCTTTTGCCTTTTCAGAATTGCCATCACAGTTATTTGCTTTTGAGCCAAGAGTTCAGTGGCATAAGGGAGCCCAGTCAAGACAAGGCATGTTGGACAAATTAGCTCTCACCATTTTTCTCACAAATGTGTGTTTTTAGTCACCATTCAGCAGGAAATCTTACATTCAATGGCCTTCGTCAGTGGTCTTCAAACTTGGCCCTTTTATGACTTGCGGACTTCAACTCCCAGAATTCCTCAGCCAGGCAACCTGGCTGAGGAATTCTGGAAGTCCACAAGTCATAAAAGGGCCAAGTTTGAAGACCCCTGGCCTTCGTTATCTGAGCGTCTGTAGATGACGAACTTCTCTTTTATAATATAGGCTGGTTCAAGACAATACAATCTTCCTCAGCTCTTCAAACATGTTAGACAGGGTTCCAGAACTGTTCACCCAGCACAGGATTTGGGGAATTGTAGTCCATTGTTTGAAGAGTGCCAGGTAAAGGATAATCCAGTTGAGGCATATTCCTTCTTTATGATCAAACCAATCCCCCTTTATATTGTTCCTAAAAAAACCAGAACTCTGTTTCTCATTTCTTCAATTTAGGTTGAAGAAATATTCTGCTGAAGTTAGCAAATATATCTTTCATGAGATCTATATTGGATTGTACTCTTAATGTCATGCTACATAAATTATAACCTATTGTTCATGTATAAGAAACAAACTATATATAAGTAGTCCTCAACTTACAACCACAACTGAGCCCCAAATTTCTGTTGCAAAGCAAGAGAGTTATTGTTTTGCCCCAATTTACGACTTTTCTTGCCACGCTTGTTAAGTGAATCACTGAAATTGTTAAGTTGATAACATAGTTGCTAAGTGAATCCGGCTTCCCCACTGACTACGCTTCTTAGAAGATCGCAAAAGGTGATTATATGACCCCAGGAGACTGTAATCATCAGTTGCCAAGCGTCTAAATTTTGATCACTCAACCAATGGGATGCTGCAACAGTCGTAGGTTTGAACAGTGGTCACAAGTCACTTTTTTCAATGCTGTTATAACTTTGGTCACTAAAGGAATGACTGTAAATCGAGGACTATTTCTGTGTTAGTTTAGTCGTGTTTTATGCGTGACATATATAAAACCATGATAAGAAGGGTGAAATAGATTGTCTTTCAGGTTAAAGTACATTCACATAATATACTTTTCATTGAAGTTGATTAAGTATGCTTGTGTATTTCTATGTAAAATGTAATTATAATTTTTTCCCTTTCTGGCTAGGTTTGTACTTTAACAAAAGAAGACAACCGTACAGTAGGTGTGATACCAAATGACGAGCAGCTTCATGTGTTGCCTCTTTACAAAATATCACAAACAGATGAATTTGGCACAGAAGAGGGGCTGGAAGCCAAGATTAAAACTGGGGCAATCCAAGTGCTAACGGCTTTCCCCCGAGAAGTGAGAATGTTAGCTGAGCCACGTAGAGCCACCAAGAAAAAGCCAGATGTAAAAAAGCAAAGTATAGCTGGAAAAAAGCATTCTGCGCCTGTAAGGGGGAAAAACGGACTGCCAGAAAACACCAAGAGAGCATCCCAGAGTTCGGGTAGGCACAACAGATAATTGTCAAATAATAGCTGATAGTGATAGATATGGGCACACTATAGAAGTTTGCATTTGTGTTTCTAAAATGCAAAGTATGAAGATGGAACAAAGTAAAATGTTATGAGCAAAAGCATTTCAGTACTGTATATACAGGTAGTCCTCAACGTACGACCACAATTGGCCCCCAATTTTCTGTTGCTTCACAAGGCAGTTGTTAAGTCAGTCTTGCCCCATTTTATGATCTTTTTTGCCACAGTTGTGAAGCAAATCACCACAGTTGTTAAGTGAATCGTGTCATTACAGAGTGTAAGAGTGCTGTTATAACTTTGAACAGGCACTAACTGAACTGTTATACGTCGAGGACTACTTGTACCTAGTTGAAGACTATCTGTATTGTACCTAGTATAAAAGTACATTTGATTTAAATATGTGGTGGCAAAGCCCTATAGCTGATAACCTCTGTATAATGTGCAAGATGTTGTTCCTGAAGTTTTGAGCATCTTCATTTTCATGAAAAGAATTTGTAACTTGGATAAAAATATACTTGAAAATGTGATGGCAAAGGTGTCGCCAAACTGCAACGTGTCTGCATTGAGGAGGAATTGGAATGGATGAAATGTGTATGTATTTATCAAACATCTGTGGGAGGGGGGAAACAGAACTTTATGTTTGAAACCAGCTTTTTCTTTTTTCTTTTCTCCTTAGGGAGCAAACTAACTATAGTGCAACCTGAGAGAAAAATGGAGACAGCTGAATACTTTTCTACCATGACACCTAATTTAGGCATTACTACCGATTGCTCTCCGTTGAAGCAACATGCTCCATCCTCTCCTTTAAAACTAGATAGTTTATCCTCTTGCTCTCCATTAAGTGGTGGTCTAATGCCAATAACAAATAGCCAAGAAGATGTTTCTACTCCCTACGGGTATTTACAATGCAGTAGTAATAAACCTCATGTGAAATCCAAAGGTAATAATAATGTTGACATGTCCCCTCGTGATTATACTGGAATTGTGATAGATGAGAAGAGAAACGGTGTGCCTCTGCTTCTTCAAGACCTGACTATGTCGAGGTTGGCAGTCAACAGAGAGAATCTGCCCCTGACCGCTGAACACGAACTGGTTAACAAGCAAAATTGTGAAGTTAACTTAAAGTCCTCTTCTGCCTCCCAGGTAGCTAGCTCTTGTGAGTCAATGTTGCAACTGGACACCCCAGAAGATGTCTCTAGCAATGATTCTTCCCAAGAGCACCCAGTGCAAAAGAGTGGATTACGGCAAAGCCTAAGTTGTGATTCTACCACTGTGGAGAACAGGTCCGGCGGCCAGCTCTTAAAACACGCCAGTTCTGAAGAAAAAGCAGAAGAAATGTGGTCCGACAGCGAGCATAACTTTTTGGATAATGACATTGGGGGGGTAGCTGTAGCGCCATCCCATGGTTCTATCTTAATTGAATGTGCACGGCGCGAACTGCACGCCACCACGCCTCTTAAAAAGCCCAACAGGAATCATCCCACGCGGATCTCTTTAGTCTTTTACCAACACAAAAACTTAAATGAGCCAAAACATGGGATAGCCCTGTGGGAGGCCAAAATGGCAGAGAGAGCAAAAGAGAAAGAAGCTGGAAAATCAGGAACCGAAACTACTGGTTTGCCAGCCACTGACAAGAATGCAAATCAGACCAATGCAACCCAAGAGATTTTCTACAAAGAAAGTGAATTCAACCAAATTCCATCTCGCAGAGCATTAACCGTAACTCATGATAATATTCTAACAGTGTCTACTTACGCCCTCACACGAGTTGCAGGGCCCTACAACCATTGGGCATAAGCTCTTATAGCAATGACACAACTTTTGCTTGGAGCAGTGTTATAATCCTAAAGGTGCTGTTAAAGAACAAAGTCTCATATGGTTTACTCTTTGTTCATCTCAACCATTTTGAAGGCTGAGGTAAAAATTATTTTGTTTTTAAACTGTGACTTTATATATTTTAACATCTGGTGATTCTCAAGTGTGTGTGTGTATATGTGCATGTGTATTCACATGCATGCACTCGCGCACACGCATATTTTAAGAAAAATTGGCTAGATTATTAACTGATTGAATTACTTGGTTTATTACCTTTTTGGAATTTATACTTTGGTGCTTTGAATTGTCTGTTTATTATAAATGGGCTTTTCATAAAGATTTTAACTGATTTCAACTTTTATTATGTAAAATCAAGTTAAACAGTATTAGCTATACACAGCTCTTGGTGCTTAATCACATTGAACAGTTAAAAATAAGCTGATTTTATTTCTTTATGGTGCCATTGCTCTTACAGCTTCCAATCACTTGCTGTGGATCCTAGCTTAAGGAGAAAGAACCAATGATGATTTATTTGTATATAGATTTTTCTCATGTATATATAGTTTGTGTGTGCATGTGTGCATGATCCACATGCAAACAAATATCACAAATAATGGTTGGAGGTTATAAATGTAAATATATATAAATATATATTTTTAAAAGCACTTTCTATTTTTAAAGTTAACTTGAAATAGTATAAGGATCACATCTGTCTAAGGTTTGTGCATTCTCTACCAAGGAATTTATTTTTTCTTACTATATAAAGTTCCATATTGCTACACCAATTCATAGATATTGAAAATACTTGGGTTTTAGATTCTTCCCTTCTCTTTTTTTCCATTGCTTTTTTTTAAATAAAAAAGCTGATAAAGTCCACAAAAATTCATTATTTGCAAATATAAATTAAGTCATTTATCTATACTTGTATTTCTAGGGTCTTTTTTAAAAAAGAGTTTATAATTTGAGCAATAAGGGCAAATGTTATCTCATAGGGGGCATTCCAAGTTTTATGGGACAATACAATCAGGCATCATCCAGGGTGTAGTTCCATACATCTTGAAGTCACCCTGTTAGGAAAGAAGTTTTCTAGGGCCTCAATGTGTAAATTGCAATACCTTGTTATCATGTTGGATTTTAAGAGATCTGCCCTATCAGTAGTGTAAGAATACATCTAAATTTATTATGCATCCAAAATGTTCTTCAGTGGTGAGTTGCCCATCAGCCTGATCTAGACAGGTTTACTTGAAGCTCAATCCCATTGTGTTCAGTGGGCTTTCTGCCAGGTAAGTGAACATCTGATTATCATATGCAGTTTTCTCCTCTCTTTCACCTCTGAATAAGACACACCGATATTCCTAAGTGATTAATTCCACAACACATGCATAGTTCCACATCCCACTTGGTATTTTCAGTCAGGAAATAAAGTCTGTAATGGGCATTGGTCTGTGTTGCAGACCCATCCAGAGTACAATGGCTGACTTCTTGGTTGCAAAATTACTATGTAACATGCCATTTCTTCTTTGTGTCATACCCTTTTCTGAAGGGTAACCCATGCAGCATTACAGGCTCAAAGACTTTGAAAATGTTTTCCAACCTGGGAACACTGTTCAGTGTTTCAGCATGCACTTCATGTGCCAGTTGAACTGCTAAGTGCAATGGCTGGATTGATCAACCCAACTTTTTGTTTCAGTCAAGAACCAGGAAAAGCAATTGCCAATGGGGATTTGCTGAAGAGATTGAGTTGTGCGAGGTAGAGTTCCATTTTGTAGACAGAACTTAACTAGATTGAGGTTCCCAGCTCAAAACTAGCGGCAGAATGATATCTTCTAGCAGACTTAAAAGTTGCCAACTCGCTTAACAGATATCACAAAGGCTTTTATGTGGATTACCATGCCCGGGTTTTCCCAACATCTTACTACCGCTTCTCGTTTCTTAGCACCTGTTACTTGGAGTGGCCACATCCTTTGTTTAACAGGAACAACACTAAATGATCAAATACTCACAGAGCTTTAATATTAAATAGTGAAAATCTCAAAGGTGATATAATGACATCTGTGTGACCAACAGTGCTTTTGTCAGTTCTGTTGAGAAGCAGAACTATTAAAATAGAGCTCAGGACTCTGGGCCGCTAGAATCAAGAGAATTTGGTATATTTGGAATGAAGAAAAGGGAAGAAATTAAGTAACAAGATCATATTTTTAGACAAGTGGATGCCAGGGATTTTATCAGTCTTAAAATTATTTCCATGCCATGATCTAAATTATATAATATTATTGAAGCTAAATCAGTAAGTTTAACCAGTCCCAATTTGATAGGGCTGTGTGTATGGGGGAACCAGACTTTGATTCCAAATTAAATTAAATCACCTAGCATCCATTTGTCCTAATGACAACATCTTAATTTTAAACATTACAGGAAAAATGTCAGGCTTTTCTTTTTTGTATGGTGTAGTTATTTGAATTAGCCAATTGTTATCATATTATGAGCCTTTGTGAGTAAACACACCCTGTAGTTTATATACAAGAATGAAGCTATTTACTAATTATCCAGTTTAATCAGGGCAGTCATGAAATTAACTCTTAATTTTACATCTCTCCCTCTCCTTTTCCTGCTTCATGATGTACATAAGTGCCACCAGAATAACCAGAAATAAAATATTTGTTATAACATACCTGATAATATTTTGCAGTGGTGCTGTAACATGTAAATGTCTAGATCTGCTTTTTAAAAAAACAAACAAAATCTAGACATGGTGCTTTTATTATTAAATGTCTACTCTTGTGTATTTAATCTGAGAAGATAATTAAAAAAATAAAGAAATAGTTGATACATATAGCTTGTCCCAGCCTTCTCCAAAGTATTCGCTGACTGTTGGAATGGAAGTAAAAAAAAAACACATTAAAGGCAGTAGGTTGGGGCAAACTGGCTAACTCTTTGTCACTTATGATTCTGAAGTTCAGAAAATGGAATTTATCTCCGTTACTCACATAGCCCAGTTGTGTAATATTAGACATTCACACTGGTGTAAGGCTTCAAGACCACCATCTTCCCCAGCATACCCATGCTGGACCTTCTCCACTTCCTCCATCCAAATGGGCAATTACCGGTACCCATATTTTTATCTAGCAGTGCAAATATATTTTTAGGTAAAGTGAAGATTAAAACAGCATGTTTGAATGCTGCTTGATGTCTGTCCCTTCCCCGTGTCTGATTTAATAGGTGATTGATGCCATTATTGATGATGCTGATCATGTTAAATGATATGTACGTATATCGGGCAAGACTGGTGCTAGATATCTTTATGTTTGCCCATTGCATTTCCATTTTTGACAGCTGAATACAATAGACATAGACAAATTTCAGCTTGCCGATACTGTAGATATTAGAGAAATTTTCCTAAATTATTGAATATTAAGATTTAGAGATGTTTTGCTAAAATCAAGAGTGAGCAATCCAGCAAATTTCACTGATTTTGGTGAAGGCTGAGAAAGCTCAAACTGTTGTGATCTATAATTTTACAAAGAGGTACCCTCCGAATACCATCAAACATGGCTTTCAAACTTAATTTTGGATCAGATCTTCATACTTCTTAGTCACAATACCATTAGCAATCTTTATGCAACAGCTTGTCGAACAATCTGAGTCAGAACATTTTAGAAAAGTATATAAAAAGAAAAACAACCCAATCTTTCTATTTTTAAAACAAACTTTGTAAAAAAAACCAATCCATATGCTGCATTTTTTTAGTTCAAAGATTATGATTAGTTCAAATACAGAATATGTAACAACTGTAAATAATAAAAGTCAATATTATATCATTTTCTACCAGCAGTTTTCTGCTTCTTGGATATATACATTAATTGGTATGGTAATTTTGTGTGCCTTAGATTTACATTTTAAGAACTGTATATTTTTTGTGAACCTAAAATTTATTAAACATAATAGCTGTCATTACAATAAGTATGGTGAAATCATCCAGCAACTCATCTGTGCAGTTTTTTTTTAAATTTAATTGTCCTTTCTAGTAATTCTGAGGGGAAAATCCTGGGATAATCCTTTACTGTGTATGTGGAAAACCTCTACACTTCATCTTAGTTTTGCTCAACCCCTCTGTCAGTTATAATTTCTAGTTGTATGCTTTTTAGTTTGCCAATCTCTTTATGTTTATAATAAGCCCCATTGAACATAATGGGTTCATTTCTGAATGAATGTATGCAGGACGGTATTATTACCACTTGGCATTTATGGGGCATACACTACTAATAAATTGTTTAGGATTAAATTTTGATTCCTTTTCTATAGGTACTACAGCAGAAAATTCAAATTGTGGCAATAGTAGAAAAATAAAGTTGACTCAAACTATGAAGATTGGGCATTTCTAAGTAGAAGATCTCTAATTACTATGCTTAAGTATTTAGTGTTTTCCTCTGTATACCTATAGAAAATATACTGCTATATTTGCTAGCAGATACTAGCTCTTAAACAACAATGCTCAATAGGGCGGGGGTAGGCAACCTTGATTCTTTTATGACTTGTGGACTTCGACTCCCAGAATTCCTGAGCCAGGCAACCTGGCTGAGGAATTCTGGGAGTTGAAGTCCACAAGTCATAAAAGAGCCAAAGTTGCCTACCCCTGCAATAGGGGAACCAGATGTCCACCTAATCAGACAGCAAGGTTTATGATCTATTACTTGGAAGTCCATAAAGTGTATTTGCATAGAATGAATTAAAGATGGAAATGTATGATTGTTTTTAACAGCTAGTAAATGTTTCATTAGATACATCAGGTTACCCAAACATTGGAAACTTACTGCTGAAATTAAGAAAGTTTTGTCTGGGTTCAGCCATATATTTTAATTATCACAAATTTGTAAAAAAAAAAAAAATACTGCTCACAAAATGATGGCTGCATCTAAAAGGTAATGTTTCTCATTGTATTATCTCACTTCATTGCTGTTTTACCAGCCAAAATCCATCAAGCATGTATGCAGAGTGAGAATATATACTGTATATACAGTTGTAAGTTATTTATTGTAGCATTTCAAATATTTATCATAGACACTGATGTACTTTGTGAATTAGCTTGTAGCAGTGAAGATTTATGACAGGGGTCTTCAAACTTGGCCCTTTTATGAGTTGTGGACTTCAACGCACAGAATTCCTCAGCCAGGTGGCTGAGGAATTCTGGGAGTTGAAGTCCACAAGTTATAAAAGGGCAAGTTTGAAGACCCCGATTTATGATAACTTTACCTACTTTGTAAGAGCAATTCTTTGGGTAGTTGCAAGCAGCAAAACTTTCAGGCACCTGCAGTAGCTTGAAGACCAGTATGGTCTAAGGTTCAATGTGGCTGCCGAGTTGCCAGAGACCCAGAAAGGAAATCAAATGCAGTTTTCAAGATTTATTGAAACAAGACTCTATTGATGAAATTGTCTGTAAAGAATACACTTGAAGCATCTAATGATTTTGGTCCTGTGATGAATGCAGGAGAGTTACTTAAATTTAACAACAACCATTTCAGACATTCAGTCCGTGAGCCCTTCAGAATGAGAAATATCAAAGCAGTTAATTGTCAACATACTAACATGTCTTTAAAAATGCTGTATTTTTAAAAAAGGATTTTAAAAACCCAGGAGTTACAACATCTCTAAAGCAGGAATTTTCAAACTTTGCAGTGCCATGTATTCATAATCTGCATTAAATAACACAAATTAACTGCACTGAAACCCTTGAAAAATATAGTGATTGTGACTGACAGAAAAATATCTTCCACATAAAAAAGTCCTTTGAACAGAATGAATTTCTTGATAATAAGATTTGCAATATTGCTCCAAGTTGCTTTAATAAAGAGGCAAGTAGTTTGAGATCCTTGAGCAAGCATGATAGAAATACCAATGCTTAAAGAAAGCATTTCCCTTTTTAAATTTCCTATATATTACGTAGATAGTTGAAGCAATTTGAAAGGCTTCGCTAGTTAACAGTCATCAACTGCAATCCTAAACTCACTAGCCACACTTAATGCAATATTATACATAGAAATATCAGTTACATGTATCTACTAAATAGGAAACCACAGAATGTAATATTTTCATTAGGAGCTTAAAGATTCTTTGCAGTCAGATAGAACTTTGTGTAGATAACTTGTTTGTTTCAAATATATTGGGGTGAGCCTCACAGTCATAGAGTCTATTGTATCCTTTACAGCAGTGTTTCTCAACCTTGGCCCCTTGAAGATGGGTGGACTTCAACTTCCAGAATTCTCCAGCCAACTTTTCTGGTGGTAGAATTCTGGGAGTTGAAGTCCCTACATCTTCAAAGGGCCAAGGATGAGAAACACTGCTTTACAGACTGGCACTAAGGTATTTTTAACTTTGGTTTGGTACACTCAGATGAATGTGACAACTGATATTGTTAAGACTCTCCACTGAAATAGTGCTTTGTTCTTACTGTTTTTGACTTATTTCTACCTGCCCTACTGCATCTTTTCCATTCTGCTTAGAAGTATCCTTGAAACAGGCAGAATGTTTTCTAGGATAGTGTTTCCTGAAATCATCAGATATAGTCATATAGTTGCATCTCCTATGTCAGTAGTGGCGAACCTATGGCATGCGTGCCAGAGGCGGCACTCAGAGCCCTCTCTGTGGGCACGCACGCCATCGCTCCGGCCCCGCCTCCCCCGTGGCCCCTCACCAGCAGCCCCCCCCAGGAGGAGAATCATCCCTGAGCAGCGCAGCCAAGAACATGGCAGCCAGACAGCGGGAACACTGCACTCGCGCCCCGTCGCACAGATGATGCTGCAGGGCGTGGGTGGAGGGCATGGCTGCCATGGCGCTGCTGGGCTGCTTGGGTGATCTGCGGCAGGCTGTGGAGGCGGTGGGTGACCGTGGGGGCAGGGTGGGGATGGGCTGCGGGTAGGGGCGAAGTGGGGGTGGGCGGGGAGCAGGGCCGGTTTTTGGGCACTCGGTCTCTAAAAGGTTCGCCATCACTGTCCTATATATTAAACACCAGTCCTTCTTTAACTTCACTTTGGTACCTTATTTCTAAAGAAACAAACTTAAAAAGATGCCATGTCTTGCAAAAGCATTAACTTACAGATTATTATCTAAATTCAGCCACGCATTAGGAGTTTTAACTCTCTACAATTACTGTGCATTATCTACTTTTCACATTTATCTTGACCTTCATGATCTCAGTCTAATAAAAGTGACTACACTAGTTAAAAACTAAGAGGATCAATGGAATTTCAGCTAACCCTGTCATTGACTGCATTGAGAGGAAAACATAATTTGGATTCAGCTCTGGATCAGGTCTACAGTGATATGCTATTTGTTTTAAGCAGCCTCCATTGCTTGAAGACCTCAGCTTTTCTCTCTTTGTTAGGGAAATAGTACAGTTTTTTTGGCCCTTCAAATGTTAATTTCAGTTTTCATCACTAAGTCAAACTTAGAATGTAATCGAGGGTAGAAAAGCTGCTTCTACTCCATCAATAAATTGTTTAAGAGCACACTATGATATTACTAATTAACATTCAGATGCAATCATTTCCTTTGAGTCTTGTCATTCAGTTAATACAATGAGTTTCTTATGGCCCTGGTTAAAAAGCACAGTGACATTTATTAATTGAATTCACATTCACAACTGTAGTGACAAATCCATTGTCATATGTACATTTACTCACAGAATGGGACTTTGCACTTCACTATTTTCCTGAATTTATGTTAGGTTGTCCTCTAACCCCCTGAGCAGATTTGAGGTTCAGGAAAGGTCAGAGTGGAAGGGGAACCAATTGTTCTCTTCACTCCCTGACCCAAAGCTTTACTGACATTTGAAGAGATTAACTGGTTAGGACAGATGAAATACTGACTATGTGAGTGTACAAAATCTGTGCTTGTCTTG